TTGGTCTATGGAGCTAGATCCAGGACAGCCAAGGCTGTTACACAGAGAAACCTGTCAAAGATTTAAAGGTACAGTCAGACATGGTGGTACACACCTGTAATCCCAGCATTCTGGGAGGGAGAGGCAGGAGGATTGTGACTCTGAAGCCAGGCTGGGCTATTCAGTGGAATCTGCCTGTCTCGGGGCTTCTCTGGCTCAGAAGTGTGAAGATAAGGAAATTGTTCATGTATTGGGATCATAACCCCTACTGGGTGGCAATAGGAGATGGGGTTGTGAATGATGATAAAGTCACAGGGTGGAGGCCTCATGAGCAGGATTGGTACCCTTGTAGAACAGACTTGAGGAAGACAAGGATTTTCCGTGGCTGTGTAGATATAACAAGAAGCAGCTGTGTGAAAACCCAAAGGGACAACCTCCTCAGTGTCTGCCCTCTTCGATCTCAGATTCCCCTGCCTGAAGTGGACAGGGCAGTGTGGACAGGACCCTCCTGCAGGCAAAAGTGTCCCATTTGCTCTTGGGATGCAGGAACATCAGAGCTGGTTTTTAGGAAGGTGACTATGATGATGAGGCAGGTAACTCAGAGCTTCCCATGGGAATTGCAGTCATGGAAGGTGGGAGGAGAGAGGGAGCTGCAAGCAGAGACAGAGGCTGGAGAGTGGGTGCTAAGATATTTATCACTCACCTGCTCCCAGCCAATTTCCTTGGGGACTTCAATGCACTCCTTCACCTAGAAGCATCAATAACAAAATCTGGCTCTTGCCTCCTCCAGAGTGTTTTTTTTTTTTCATGGTGGAAAGACAATGGAATTTGACTTCACTGCCAGCATACTGGGTGACCTTGGGCTGCTTACTTAGCCTCTGTGAACTCCAGGCTCATCTGTAGAAAGGGAGCCGTGATGCCACCACCCTGCTATTGTTGAGAGGATCTGATGAGGTCATGGCAGTGAAAAGAGCCTTTGTGAGTCACACCAGAGCTGTGCGGGCCTTTGAATGGAACCCAGTGAACTGTGTTCACGCAGGAAGTTCCAGGCAGGAGCAATAAAGCTAGGCTGGTGTGTCTGAGAATGCAAACTTGAGGATCCCACTTCTTGACACTTGAGGGTGGATTCTAAGGCCCACAGGAAAGCCAGAGAGGCTTCAGGAGGTAGACAGGTGGACACAGACATCATGGGACAGTAATAACTGTACTACCTATGAAGCCACAGTTGGTATGCCGTGAAATGACTATAGGTATTTCATATTTGCAGAAATTGTCGTCTATAAAGTCACTTACACACTCAATCAGCACATAGGGACCACTTGCTCTAGGAAAAACATAGGGTTTGGTTTCTGGGAGTCCCTGGACACAATCTGATTATCAAGCAATCAATTCATAATATGTATTGGGGGTATTTCTGCTTAAAGACACCTTGTTGAATGCATACTGCCCATTAACATTGAATTCATAGGCAACAGCACTATAATGAGCCCCTTCGTGAAAGTGGTCTATCCCACATACTTTCACCATGAAGTATATCACAACTTTCTTGTACTTAGGAACCCCAGAGAGGATATCTGTACTATGCTCCATAACCATATTAAGATCACCCACAAAAAGCATTGACATACCCCCCTAAAAAATAGAACTGTATAAACCTTAAGAGAACACTTGTTAGGGCTAGAGAAATGACTCACAGTTAGAAGTGCTTATAGCTCTTTTTTTTAAATATTTTATTTATTTATTATGTATACAACATTCTGCTTCCATGTATGTCTGCAACCAGAAGAGGACACCAGATCTCATAACAGATGGTTGTAAGCCACTATGTGGTTGCTGGGAATTGAACTCAGGACCCCTGGAAAAGCAGTCAGTGCTCTTAACCTCTGAGCCATCTCTCCAGCCGGTGCTTATAGCTCTTACAGAAGACCTGGGTTTGATTCCCAGCACCCACATATTGACTCCAGTTAAGGTGGACACTTTCTTCTAAGCTTTACAGGCACCAGGCACTCTCTGGTCATGAAGGGACCAGCCCCCCCATTTCGGCAGCCATGACAGTAACACGTGCTCGCTAGGACCTTGTCTTAGTCACTAGAGGTTAGGTGCCTGCCTCGTGACAAGGAACCAACCAGAAGTTAGCTGATGGCGCTATGCTTTACGACCCTGGGTGTACTTTATGGACAAGCGCACAGCAATGATGCACAGAGCATAGCAACCACCCGGGGAAGGCCTATGGGCCATAACAACCAGTTGGCCAATCAACACAGGGCAAGCCCTCCAAGCCTGGAGGCGCACCAATCGTGAGCCTCTGCGTACCCCTAGACACTCCCCTTATGCTGCCCTCAAGATCTCTCTCTGCAGCGGTTCAAGCTGTCTTTGCTAGCCATCCGCCATGGCAGGTGGGTGAAAGACCCGAGCAAACATGGGGTTAGCTCGTTAAAAAAACAATAAAGCCTCATGCAGTTTGCAGCAAGCTCTCGAATCCGCCTGCTGCCCGGTGATTGTGGTGACCGAGGTTGTGGCCTGGGACCCCGGATACCTTAGTTTTCCGGGGGTCTAACAGTCACATATACATATACATGGGAAAAACACTCATACACATAAAAGTAAATAAATAAATCTTTTAAAAAAAACAATACTCAGGGCTGGAGAGATGGCTCAGAAGTTAAGAGCACTGACTGCTCGCTCTTCCAAGGGTCCTGAGTCCACATGGTGGCTCACAACCATCTGTAATAAGATCTAGTGCCCTCTTCTGCCCTGCAGGCATACATGAAGACAGAACACTGTATACATAATAAATAAATAAATCTTAAAAAAAAATACTCAGGCAGGGTGGTGGTGGCGCACACCTTTAATCCCAGCACTCGGGAGGCAGAGGCAGGCGGAACTCTGTGAGTTTGAGACCAGCCTGGTCTACAAGAGTTAGTTCCAAGACAGTCTCCAAAGCCACAGAGAAACCCTGTCTCAACAAACAAACAAACAAACAAAAACAACAACAAAACATAGAGTCACCTCATGTGGCCTCAGCAAATCTGTGCCTGTCTGCCGCCAACAGTTAAAACTGTCCGGCACCCTGCCTTTTGCAGATGACCCCGAGTTCCACAAGTACTGATGTGGATGATCCCAAAGTTAACAAAGAAGACTAACTCCAAACATGGAATCCACACGTAGTAAGTACTAAGGGCGTTGCCATCCTCATTTCACAAGATGGAGGAGCTGAAGTTCGTCAGTGCAACTAGCCGGCTCTCCACTAATAAATGGTAGATCTAGAATTCAAACCCTAGGTTCAGATGTAGGTTCAAAATCAAAGGGATTTTGGCAGTATTAGATATTGTCCTCCTGCCCACACCCATTCATTTTATAAATAAATCCCTAGGCCCAGAGCGGATGGCTGGCCACACAGACACTGGGGCAATCCCGGCATGCATCACAGGCGTGGCCTAGGCTTTTTTTCTCTTTTCTCACAACAGCGCCCTCCTTTCATCAAGTGCCTGCCCTGCCTGTGTTATCAATGCCTTTTAAGCTCCCAAAATATTTCTCTCAGATTGTTTCCAGGGCTCCTGTGAACCGAGTGGGGAGTGGGGAATAAAGAGTCAAGCATTGAGGAAAACGCTCAACCCGGGAACCTGAGTGTTTACAGATTGGGCCACCAGGGGTCGCCCCTTCCCAAATACACCCTATATCTCCTAACTCGTCCCCCACAAGCACTGGGAGGCCTCAGCTAGCCAGAGTGGTCCAAGCTAAGGCATTGAACAATGGGCTGATTGATGCAAATGGACCATGAAAGACAAATTGTTCCAATGAAGCACACATTCCAGGACCCTGCCAAACGCCCAGGGAGTGTGGAATTTCAAGGAAAAGCTAAGTAGATTTGGGCTGTCCCAGTGGCCCTTGTGCTTCCCCTGGACCAGATTTTCAGCACCTCCTTTCCCTGGAATGTTACAGGCTTGGCCTAGGCTCCCAGGGGACTGCCCTGGATGGATAGGGAGGCTGAGGAAGGAGGGGGATCAATGAGAGGGCTGTGACCTTCACAGTAGAAGGTCTTGGTCCCCACCCCAGGTGGCCTTGGGCTTCTGAACATAACAATCCTTTAGCAAACTGCTCTCTGCCGATCTCCCAACCCCATTACAAGGCTATATGACCCAAAGCATCCTTTGCCAGCCTCTAGATAGTCCTAGTGACAGCCTCTCCTCTTGTGGGATGTTTTCTCCATAGTGAAGAATGCTTTGTCATCCTTTGCACTCATCTCCAGTGTGTGTGTGGTGTGTGTGTGTGTGTGTGTGTGTGTGTGTGTGTGTGTGTGTGTAAGGGAAAATATCTAGAAACTTTAACATTGTTGTTCAAGGAAGGCTACAAAACCGTGCCCACCCTACCCCACCCCACCCCACCCCCAGGCTCCAGCAACCAGAGCTGGTTCCCAGATCCATCCTGGCTCTCTGGAGACCTCCAGGTGACCCCAGGCCCAGCAGAAGTCCTGCGGCATGAGCTTGCAGCCTCCTCAGGATCTGAACTTCCGACCACTGCCGTCCCCCACGTCTCCCCCAGGGCCAGGGAGGGTGGAGCAGGATCTGATGCTTGAGCCTACACAAGGGTTCCTTGTCCTGCTGGGCAGCCTGACACTGGCTGTGCGATCCTGAGAGGGCTCTTCAGAACCACTGTGTTGCTGTTGTGGCTTGAGGAACGAGCAGATCCCAGTCCACCAGGACCAGGCCTGGCCCACCAGGCTTAGGCCCGGTCCACCTCTGAAATGCTGTAACTGGGTCCCCACAACTCATACTTCTCTATGCTGTGGCTCTTGGTACTTTTCTCTCACCCTACAATGGCCAGTCATCTGCCAGGTTCTGTTCTGCAGTCTTTGGCCAACATGTCTTCTGTTATCCAGGGATGCTTGCCCCTCCTTGTCTTCACAATCCTGCCCCTCCTTATTCCTTTGCTATCCTTTTCTAATTCACTACTTAGTAATTCATACCCGGTACCCAGCGGCTCTAACCCACATGTAATATTCAATCAAATGCTTTCATTACCTGTGTAGGGCTGGCAAATCAACCTGGGTGAAGGCTCTATGATGTTGAAGGCATCCTGGAAGATACAAGGCCAACAGGAGGGGTAAGGAACAGAAGTCAGAACTCAGGGCCCAGTCTAAGTTTTTCCATCCCTATACTGGGTGTCTTAGAGTGGCAGGTATCCCAATAATAGCATCATATAAATATGATGGCAGAAGAGGCAAAAAGGACTGACAAGATGGCTCAGCAGGTAAAGGAACTTGGTGTCAAGCTTGATGACCTGAGCTTGATCCCAGAAACCCATATAACAGAAGAGAAAACCACCTCTTTAAAGTTGCCTTTACACACTTTACACACACACACACATACACACACACACACACACACACACACATGCACGCACAATGGCATGCCTTTGCCCATATGGCACAAACAAAAATAAATTAATTAATTTAAATAAATTTGAAAGAAGAAACAGAAAGAGAGGCTAAGAGCTAAGCGTGTAGCAGAGTACGTGCCCAGCACATGCAATCCTCTGAGTTTGATTTCCAGCACTGGGTAGAGAAGCCACTTCTTTAAAGTAGTCTTGGTAGTGCACACCTGTAATCCCAGCACTCAGCCGGCAGAGGCAGAACTCAGCTTTTCAAGCCAGCCTGGGTTATATGGTGAGACAGGAAGGGAAGGAGGGAAAAAAGGGGAGACGAAATGCTTTGGGAGAACTGGAAACTGTCAGCACCCATTGAGTCATTTATAGAGAATTTAGTGTCTGCAAAAGACAAACACAGCCCCTGCTCCCTGGACAGCTTCCATCCTGCTAGTAGAGGGCTAAGCAAGCAGCTTGCTGTCTGCAACCCTACCCTGGGCCAGGTGTGTGCGCGCAGCATGGCCATCTGGTCCAGGATTTATCACAGAAACCCGGATGGTCTGGCTCAGCACAATGGGCCTCCTGGGTGCTAGGCTCCTGTGCCCCCAGGCCACACCCATCCTGCTGTGGTCTTGCCAGCCATACCAAGAGTTAACTAGCCCAGCCTTTCCTGACTTTGAGCAGGAGGGTCAGTCTCAGGTCCCCTCAACGAACAGTACTAGGGCCAGTTGCCAGCATCGCAGACCGCAGCAGAAACCCTGCTTGGCCCTGAAGAAGCCTCCACCTCCTCCCAGCTCAGCCCAAAGGAAGAGTCCACAAGCCTGGAAGGGGTTAAGTTCACAGGATGTGCCCAGGACCCAGCTGTTTCCGTGGGCGGACAGGGGATTTACAGCCTCCCAGCCTCCCACACTGTGGGCTGAGCAGCCGTGCTGGAGAGAGATGCTTCTCCCTCACACAGGGACAGGAAAGCAGAGTTCTTGCCGTGAGGTCAGACTCCTCTGTCTCAAAGCCAGGGCCTCCCACGCGGCGCCAAGGAGAAAGTGGGGGCAGGAAAGAGGAGCCAGGGGGCCCAGAAGGACCCTGGTTCTGGCTCTGGCTACCAAGATGGGTAAAGACAGAACTGGCCCTGCCTGTCCTGAGCCTCCTCTCATGACTCATGTGGGGACAGTAGTTAGTGGCAGAGAAGTAGATCTGGGAGTTCAAGCTCCAGGCTTCAGTTTCTTATGCTGTGTGTGCCTCAGTTTCTCCCCTCTTGGCACACCTTTTGGGGTATAATGATGAAGCACCAAATATCCATATTCTAGTCCTTCAAACCCGTGAACACATTAAGGATCTTGAGGTGGTATCTCAAGACTTTGATGATTCCTGTGGAGTGCAAATGTCACCAAAGGTGTCCTCGTATGAGGAAGGCACATGGAGATGGCAGACAGACCAGAAAGCACTGTGACCAGAGGCAGGGATTGCTAGTGCTGCACAAACCGTGGCATGCCTAGAGCCATCTGAGGCAAAAGGGACCAGGAACTTCTCACCTGGAGCTGTAGCAGGAATGTAGCCAATCTGTATCTTGATTTTGGTCCCACAGGATGACTATAGCCTTTGGCCTCTGGAGCCATGAGAAACTGAACTTGTGTGGGTAAGTCACAGTGGTGGAATGGTTTCTCTCAGTAGCTCCAGGAAACCAGTGAGCCTCCTTACACGATAGAACTGTGGTTCTCAACCTTCCCAGTGAGCGACCTTTTAACACAGTTCCTCATGTGAAGGTGACCCCCAGCCATGAGATTATTTCATTTCTATTCCATAACTGTAAATTTGCTATTGTCATGAATCATAATATAAATAGCTGATACACGATTCTCTGAGGAGTTGCAACCCATAGGTTGAGAACCACCATGATAAATACACAGAGCATCCTATGGTCCCTATATGGTTGTCATTTTCCTTTTCAAGGAGTCAAGGAGTCCCTCAACCCTGCCCTGGACTGCACTGGCCAGAACATAATTCTGGCCTGGGGCCATTCCCCTGAGGTAGGAATATAGGATGCCTGTGCTCAACAAGCCAGCTGGAGAGTGTGTGTTCCCTAAGGAGGAGACAGGACAGCCAGGCTCTTCCACTATCAGATCTCAGCTTCTTGGTGCCTGATGTGTCCTCCAAATCTGCTGGGCCAGCAACACAGGCCTGTAGTTGGGAGGCTAACACTAATGGGGCTGAAGCAAGAGAACCCTGAGTCCCCTGTCAGCCTGACCCACATAGAGAGACCCTGTCTCAAAGTACAAATGACCCCTAAGCTGAGTCCTGAGTATCTGCTCTGGGCTAGCCTGACTGCTTCTCACCCTACTACCCAGGGGCATTTTGGAGTCTCCCAGCAGTCAGTAACTACAGAGAGGCCCACATACTTTCCAAGAAACCAAATGGCCAAATCTGTGGAGATCTGGGAGGTAATAGAGAAGAGAGAGCCCAGACTCTTAACCTCTCAGCAATCACTTGCTGGACTCACACTGTACCAGGTGCAGGGCCAAGCTCAGGAGTTTCCAGGTGATACAGCCCTTACCAATGCTGCTGGCCTGAGACTACTCTCAGTTCCTTGGTAGCAGTCTTTCCCAACAAGATGTTTGTATCATCAGAACCAACAAGGGAAAGAGAGTCATAACAGATGGGATGAAAATCACAATCGTATGGAGCCTCACAGCAGAGGTGACATCCACTCAAGTCACAGGGACAGAGATGTGGGATACTTGCCTAACATCACTAAACCCTGGCTTTTGTCTCCAAGCACTGCACAAAACCAGGCATGGCGGTATATGCCTGTGATCCTGTCATTTCAGCATTCCAGAGGAAGAGGCAAGATCAGAAGTTCAAAGCCATCTTCAGCTGCATAGCAAGGTACTGTGAGATGCTATACCCAAAACAAAGAGGATTAGCAATTCATGGAGCCTCTTTTGTTCTGCTGAGTGGAAGGCTGTTCCAGCCTTCAGGGAGAAGCTGTCAGACACTGGTTTATTGCTCAGCTTATTGCTTTCTGGGTGTGTCAATCATTCACCCTCCTGACACAACATTCCTGCACCAGCGTACAGCCTGGTGTTACCATTTTACTACGTATTCACTATGTCAAATTCTTGACCATATATGTACATAGTATTCCTGGAAGGAAGGATGACCCTGCTTCCTATTCTATATTTATGGAAACTGAGGCCCAGAGCAGTAAATGAAGGGATTTTTCTTCTCCAGGGACTATTTAGATACTGGCAGGATCTGACAGAGAAAACCACAAGAGACAAGCTACAGTGAGAGGAAGACACCAAAAATAGAGGAATGATTGTCCTTGCTATCTTTGCCAGGTAGCACTCCCTGAACCCTGGTCTGCAGGGGAAGTGTGTGTGTGTGTGTGTGTGTGTGTGTGTGTGTGTGTGTTCATTCAATTGAAGTATTGCAGCCTTGACTTTTCTGCGTCTAGCACTGTTAATGACCACCGACAATCAGAGAGATCCTGAACATCAGCCCTGTGAGCCAACCACTTCAGAATCACCACTGAGGTTTTGTTTTTGTTGCTGTTGTTTGTTTTATCTGGGTTGGTTGGGGTTTTGTAGTGTGTGGAATTGGATCCTGGATCCTACCACCATGCTACATGTCTACCCTTGCTGTGTGTGTGTGTGTGTGTGTGTGTGTGTGTGTGTGTGTGTGTGTCCTGGAATCCTCTATGTAGATCAGATTGGCTTCGAATTCTGCCTTCCAAGTTCTTGGGACTATGCCTGGCTGTGTTGTTGTTGTTTTTGAACAGAGTTTCACTGTGTAGCCTAGGCTAACCTCAAACTTATAATCCTCATGCCTCAGCCTCCTGATTGCTGGGATGACAAGCATGCACCACCATGTCCAATAGGTTGTATGCTTTTATCAAGTGCCCATTTCCTCTCATTTGCTGGATTAGTAACCATTGACTGGCTTCAATTTTATAAGAAGGGCATGTCAAGCCAGTAATAGAGATATGTTTAAAGTCATAGTCCTGGGTAATGGCCCAGTCAGAATGAAGACCCAGGAGGTACCCCCAGACTCCTGACTTCCTCCAGGCTTCATGTGTTTGAAGTCTGTCCATGGCTCTGGGAGCCCAGCTCATGTCCATTCAGGATCAAGGCACCTGCCCGCCAGCAACAGGCCCCTAACTAACTCTCTCTCTCTCTCTCTCTCTCTCTCTCTCTCTCTCTCTCTCTCACACACACACACACACACACACACACACCTATCTCCTCCCC